CAGCAGCTTTTTACCATCTAAAAAACATTGCCAGGATCAAAAACATAGTGTCTAAAGCAGACTTGGAGATTCTTATCCATGCATTTGTCTCCAGTAGGTTAGACTACTGCAATGGCCGGCTCACAGGTCTGTCCAAACAGGCTGTAAAACAGCTGCAGTACATTCAAAATGCAGCAGCTCGAGTCCTGACTCGAACCAGGAAGTACGATCTCATTAGTCCTGACTAGAACCAGGAAGTACGACCACATTAGTCCTGACTAGAACCAGGAAGTACGACCACATTAGTCCTGACTAGAACCAGGAAGTACGACCACATTAGTCCTGACTAGAACCAGGAAGTACGACCATATTAGTCCAGACTAGAACCAGGAAGTACGACCACATTAGTCCTGACTAGAACCAGGAAGTACGACCACATTAGTCCTGACTAGAACCAGGAAGTACGACCACATTAGTCCTGACTAGAACCAGGAAGTACGATCACATTAGTCCAGTTCTCAGGTCTCTGCACTGGCTTCCTGTGGCTCAGAGAATAGACTTTAAAACAGCTCTGCTTGTTACAAGTCTCTACATGGCCTCGCACCAAAATATATTAGTGACATGTTAGTCCCATATGAACCAGCCCGGACTCTGAGGAGCACAGGGACTGGACTCCTGCTGGGACTCTGAGGAGCACAGGGACTGGACTCCTGCTGGGACTCTGAGGAGCACAGGGACTGGACTCCTGCTGGGACTCTGAGGAGCACAGGGACTGGCCTCCTGCTGGGACTCTGAGGAGCACAGGGACTGGACTCCTGCTGGGACTCTGAGGAGCACAGGGACTGGCCTCCTGCTGGGACTCTGAGGAGCACAGGGACTGGACTCCTGTTAGTGCCCAGAGTCAGAACTAAACATGGGGAGGCTGCTTTTCAGATTCATGCTGCTAAAATCTGGAACAGTCTTCCTGAAGATGTGAGACAGGCCTCCTCTCTGACAATGTTTAAAACCAGGCTAAAGACAGTGCTGTTTAGCTGTGCTACAACTGAGGGATTTTATATTTTTATCTTTCTTTTTAATGTTCTGTGATTATTTATGATTTTAATGCTTTCTTGTTTTGTTCAGCACTTTGAGTCGCCTTTTGTATGAATTGTGCTATACAAATAAACTTGCCTTGCCTTAAACGAGATTATGTAGAAAAAGGGGAAGATTATTACTGTATGTAGACTGATTATTCCAACAGTTTTGGTTAAACCCCTGCACCATTAGAACAACTGGAATTTACTGTAATTTAAATTTAATGTAGCTAATTTTAGCCATCCATCCATTTTCCTCCGCTTCATCCGTTGCCAGGTCGCAGGGGCAGCAGTCCAAGCAGAGACGGCCAGACATCCCTCTCCACACACACTTCCTCCAGCTCGTTTTAGCCATTTAATTCAATATAATTCTAGCTAATTTTATCCATATTTACAGTGGCCCCTCTCTGTGTGGGCTTTTTGTACAGCGTACATCATATACTACGTCATTTACTACTTCATATAACCGCTTTTTTATTATGACAGTTTCCTTTGTTTGAAGTCTTAAGAAAACTTCAGACTTAAAAAAAAAAGGTGAAACCTTTTAGAGGGATTTTGCATGTTTTTGCTTCGTTACAGGTCTCCAAGTCTCATATCCAGTGACATTTGCCTAAACGGTGAAAGGGGAGTTTAAAGAGTATTGTACAGACACATAGGTCCAATCTCAGACACAAACCAAACCAGATACACTCCAGCTTTAATAGTGTTTCCAATCTTAGCTTCGTTTTTGTCTCACTGGAGAAATAAAAACGTGCAGTTTTCTCTGCAGACGGTAAAAGGACATTATTCTAAGCCCTGCTGACGTTAAGGACCAGGATCTCCCTCTGTTCGCTTTAATAAGTGTGGTACAGACTGAGGCCGACGGTGATTGTTCCACACTTTGATTTCATCCACTGCTCTGAGGGGGAGGCCTCAGCTCTGTGTCTTCAGTCAATGTGAAGGAGAGTAAAGCAGTGTAGTAATAATACTCCCTCTGTCCTCAAAGCTTTGTCCTTGTTTGGAACACATGCTCAGTGGGGGGTCAGAGAGGGCTCTACAACTGTATTCTTTGGTGTTATAGACACAAGTCAAGGTGAGATTATTTATCTAGCCCGCTGGACATGGCCACTATAACTGTGTCCACTAGAAGTGCAGGACATGGCCTCTATAACCGTGTCCACTAGAGGGCGCAGGACATGGCCTCTATAACTGTGCCCACTAGAGGGCGCAGGACATGGCCACTATAACTGTGCCCACTAGAGGGCGCAGGACATGGCCACTATAACCGTGTCCACTAGAGGGCGCAGGACATGGCCACTATAACCGTGTCCACTAGAGGGCACAGGACATGGCCACTATAACTGTCCACTAGAGGGCGCAGGACATGGCCACTATAACTGTGTCCACTAGAGGGAGCAGGACATGGCCACTATAACCGTGTCCACTAGAGGGCGCAGGACATGGCCACTATAACTGTGTCCACTAGAGGGCGCAGGACATGGCCACTATAACTGTCCACTAGAGGGAGCAGGACATGGCCTCTATAACCGTGTCCACTAGAGGGAGCAGGACATGGCCTCTATAACTGTGTCCACTAGAGGGCGCAGGACATGGCCTCTATAACTGTGTCCACTAGAGGGCGCAGGACATGGTCACTATAACCGTATCCACTAGAGGGCGCAGGACATGGCCACTATAACCGTGTCCACTAGAGGGCGCAGGACATGGCCACTATAACTGTGTCCACTAGAGGGCGCAGGACATGGCCACTATAACCGTGTCCACTAGAGGGCGCAGGACATGGCCTCTATAACTGTGTCCACTAGAGGGAGCAGGACATGGCCTCTATAACCGTGTCCACTAGAGGGCGCAGGACATGGCCTCTATAACTGTGTCCACTAGATGGCGCAGGACATGGCCACTATAACCGTGTCCACTAGAGGGCGCAGGACATGGCCTCTATAACTGTGTCCACTAGAGGGCACAGGACATGGCCACTATAACTGTGTCCACTAGAGGGCGCAGGACATGGCCTCTATAACCGTGTCCACTAGAGGGCGCAGGACATGGCCACTATAACCGTGTCCACTAGAGGGCGCAGGACATGGCCACTATAACCGTGTCCACTAGAGGGCGCAGGACATGGCCACTATAACCGTGTCCACTAGAGGGCGCAGGACATGGCCACTATAACCGTGTCCACTAGAGGGCGCAGGACATGGCCTCTATAACTGTGTCCACTAGAGGGCACAGGACATGGCCTCTATAACTGTGTCCACTAGAGGGCGCAGGACATGGCCTCTATAACCGTGTCCACTAGAGGGAGCAGGACATGGCCTCTATAACCGTGTCCACTAGAGGGAGCAGGACATGGCCTCTATAACCGTGTCCACTAGAGGGCGCAGGACATGGCCACTATAACCGTGTCCACTAGAGGGAGCAGGACATGGCCTCTATAACTGTGTCCACTAGAGGGCGCAGGACATGGCCACTATAACTGTATCCACTAGAGGGCGCAGGACATGGCCACTATAACCGTGTCCACTAGAGGGAGCAGGACATGGCCTCTATAACTAAGTCCACTAGAGGGCGCAGGACATGGCCTCTATAACCGTGTCCACTAGAGGGCGCAGGACATGGCCTCTATAACTGTCCACTAGAGGGCGCAGGACGTTTAACTTTTTACTTGTTATATCTTTACGTCTGTATGTCTGGGGTTTGGTCTAATAGAAGTAATCTATTACTGTAACAAAGTATTTAAAGGAACAGTAATCAATGTGCACTCTCAGTGGACTAATAAAGTCATGTGACTGTGTAAGTACAGCTCCTCCTGCAGCTCCTCCTGCAGCTCCTCCTGCAGCCCCTCCTGCAGCTCTTCCTGCAGCTCCTCCTGAGTTCACCAGCGTCACTGAGGCATAAACGATGGGCTCAGATGTCGTTCACCAATTGTGAGACAATAGACAGATGAAGAACGATGAAGAGCGATGAAGACGAATGGCGAGGCGTCTCTGCGAACAAATGAATTCCAAAGACGCCTCTCGCCATTTCAATGAGCCCGGCGCTGCCATGTCTCCGCATAAATCATGTTAACCTTCTCATTTTCAACTTCATCCATTTTTAAGGCGCTCCTCGTCCCGCGCCGATGCATCAAAGAGGATCTGATTGCAGAGATCGCATTAAAATCCAGACTGGAGAATATTGTCACTTTTTTCTTTTCCCGGCGAATGCCAACTCTGCCGTCTGTCATAACTCAGGGCTGTCACGGCGAAGGATCCTCGCTGAATGCAAATGATGGAGAGAGACGGAGGAGGGGGTTAAAGTACTACAGTGGCTTCTAAAACGGTGGAAATAGCTGCGGCGCTGACAGGAAAACACCCACATGGAAATAAGGAGATGTTTTGACAGTTGGAGTGAGCAGCGTTAGCTACGGCGAGGTTTTATCTGATGTCTGTGCCACTTCTGTCTCTGCACAATACAGACTCCACCTCCACACATGTTTGGGGAAGAGTCACATTCAAATGATTCGATGTCAAAATATCTCAATCAGGAGAAAGCCAGAATCCAGCACTTTCCAGCACTCAGAAATGAAAAAAATCATTCAAATTAATCAAATCAAATTATTAGCCCCTAATCAAAAGAAGAACTATTTTTACTCGTTATCAGTCATTTCATAGTTTATATTTTAATATAAAATGTTAATATAAAATCTTAACTACAAATGGTGAAAGTGTGAAAGCCCTTTCCATATTCTACCACCAAAATCCCTGGCTGAACATCATGGGCAGTACGGTGGCTGAGTGGTTAGCACTCTCGCTTCTCATCAAGAAGCATTTGCGTGTTCTCCCTGTGTCTGCGTAGGTTACCTCCAGGTGCTACGGTTTCCCCTACCAGTAAAAAGATGTACAACAGTTCAGGCTGAATGAGATTGTGTTTGTGAGTGTGACCCCAAGGTACAATCCAGAGTCATGTTCAAAATTGCGTGTTTAGCAGGCGGGTGGAGCAGGCGGGTGGAGCATTCCGTGTGGAGCAGACGGGTGGAGCAGGCGGGTGGAGCAGGCGGGTGGAGCAGGCGGGTGGAGTAGGCGTGTGGAGCAGGTGGATGGAGCAGGCGGGTGGAGCAGGCGTGGGGGGCAGGCGGGTGGAGCAGGCGGGTGGGGCAGGCGTGTGGAGCAGGCGGGTGGGGCAGGCGTGTGGGGCAGGCGGGTGGAGAAGGCGGGTGGGGCAGGCGTGTGGAGCAGGCGGGTGGGGCAGGCGTGTGGAGCAGGCGGGTGGGGCAGGCGGTTGGAGCAGGCGAGTGGAGCAGGCGGGTGGGGGCAGGCGTGTGGAGCAGGCGGGTGGAGCAGGCGGGTGGAGCAGGCGGGTGGAGCAGGCGGGTGGAGCAGGCGGGTGGGGCAGGCGGGTGGGGCAGGCGGGTGGGGCAGGCGGGTGGAGCAGGCGGGTGGAGCAGGCGGGTGGGGCAGGCGGGTGGAGCAGGCGGGTGGAGCAGGCGGGTGGAGCAGGCGGGTGGGGCAGGCGGGTGGGGCAGGCGGGTGGAGCAGGCGGGTGGGGCAGGCGGGTGGAGCAGGCGGGTGGAGCCTCCTAACGACCCAACAACAGTTGTTACCACTAGAATTAGTAATAACAAGGACTAGTATTTTTTTCCAGATTGAAATTTACCGGCTGCAACCACAGACTTGTGATTGTAAAGAACATCATGGGCGGCACAGTGACTGAGTGGTTAGCACTCCTGTTTCTCAGTAAGAAGGTCTGGAGTCCAAATCCCAGTCGGAACAGGGCCTTTCTGAGTGGAGTTTGCATGTTCTTTCCATGTCTGTGTAGGTTTCCTCCGGGTGCTCAGAGAGTAAACCGCCAGAACATGTCGGTGATTAGTGGGGACTAGCTTTCTTTACTAGTCCATCTCTGCATCGACCCGTTACACACACCCAATAAACAAACTCGGCCAGACTCGGTCAGACTCGGCCAGACTCAGCCAGACTCGGTCAGACTCGGCCAGACTCAGACCCCTGGTGAACGGAGTAGGACACCCCAGATCTACAATGTTCTGCATTATGTTGATAACAGCCCAGCTGCTGGTCTTCAACTGTACACACACAAACACACACACACACATGAGGACACACACACACAGACACACACACACACATGAGGACAAACACACACAGACACACACACACACACACACACACATGAGCCACACACCCACACACATGAGGACACAGACACACACACACACATGAGCCACACACTTATACACACAGACACACAAACATGTGCCACACACTTATACACACACACACGAGTTACACACTTACACAGACACGCACATACACCCACACACATGAGGACACACACAGACACACACACACAGACACACACACACACACATGAGGACACACACACACACACACACACACATGAGGACACACACACACAGACACACACACACACACACACATGAGGACACACACACACAGACACACACACACACACATGAGGACACACACACACAGACACACACAGACACACACACACACACACACACACACACATACACGTTTTTGTTACCTGGTGGGTCCCTTTGACAGGGCCGTTCAGAATGGGACCCATAGACATAATCTTTTTTTACTGGGACTACTTTAAGTAATACAAAACAGTCAATAGAAACCAAACAACTATTTTAAAGGAATTTTATTTTTGATTTTTTTTTCGAATTGCAGTGATTCTATTTTTGACATAGAATTTAATGCCACTCCATGTCCGATGTCTAAGGTCATCTGGTGAGGCATTAATGCAGGCCAGGCCAGGCCAGGCCAGGCCAGGCCAGGCAGTGAGACTTCCCAGGGACCTTTCCAGTCTGTATGAAAGGTGTCATGGTCTTCTCCACAGCCTTCACCTCAGATGCAGACCATGGCTTTCTTACACGTTCTAGGGAGAGAAATAAAAATATATTAGCAATATACACTCCCAGGGTTAGGACCAAGCAGCCTGGCTGTAATCCCCCACCTGGTACACTTACCAGAAGGGGCACTGCCACTACCATGGGGTGCATCTGGATGAATGGTTGAAGGTTCTCCGCTTGAAGTTTCTTTTAGCCCGTCCGTTTGTGAGAGGATCTCTCTACTGCTCTCCCTGTCGCACAGAAAATAAAAATACAAGTGGCCTTTAGGGGAAAAAAATCATACATATTTTAATAATATCAAGAATTACCTTCAGGCTCAATTTGTATCTGGTCGAGGCTCTTTCCTTTGAATTCCGTCACTCTTCCCTGCTCCATGGCCATCAACACTTTGCTGATTTTGGCCAGCTCCAGTGTCCCCTCTGGTAGTCTGTAATATTGCCTGTGGATGCGAATGTCATGGCCAAGGAAGTTGGCAAGTATGTCCATCTCATTCTCTTTCATATTGAGAACTGTAGACATAGTAGCTATGTGCTTTCTAAGTTTGGTTGAGGATAGCATCTCTGGATGCACCGCACCACATTCTTTGGCTACCTGGCGTAGGGAGTCTGATCCCCTGATGTGGGTGTCTGCGCCCGGGCGGGAGAAGAAGTATGGGTTATGGTCAGAGATGGAACAGGCCCTTCTGTTCTCCACCAGCACCTCCATCGAAGCAATTATTTCAGGAGTCAAAAGAACCGGCACTTTCCGACTTCTTTTCCCTTTAATTTCAATGCGGTGAAAATGCTGACACAGCTTTTTCTCAAGTTGGGACAGTCCCAGAGCAATGTCAGAATGGATCCCAGTCTTACTTCTTAAGGTAAAGGCTGTCAGTGGCATCTTTGAAACCTCACCTTCCCTTCTTCGATTGAAAATAATGACCTCACAAAGAGTCAAAACTGCCAGTTTAGACCAATGCTTAGACGTTGGCTCACTTATTAGGGTTTGCACATATTCAGGTCGACATACCTCAATATGTGCATGCATGGCTCTAACGTCCTCAGTCAGAGGGAGCAGGTCCGGAGTGTTCCACTTGGCTTGCCGGAGGGTCTGTAGGGCAGCAGAAGAAACACAGACGTCCCACCTCTTCTCAAAAAGCAGCCGGCTTCGTTGGAGGTTTTTAATAAATAGTTCATCAACACAATGCTCCATTTTTGAGTCACATTCAAGAATATCTGCTAGCTTTCTGAGGCTATGGCCGAGTTTGAGGGCCAAGGATGGAGTCTTGTATTGATTTGTTTCCTCATCATATCCAGCCACAGACCTGACTGCATCAATCACATGGTTAAAGTTGGAAGGAATAAAGAAATCCTTAATTGTTTTCAGTTTCCCTGCAGTTTTTGCTTCGTTAATTAACCTACCGACTTCTCTCATTTTCTGCCTAATGTAATCATGCTTAGTCTTATCATGCCCGTGTTTTAAGTACAGGTGCTCTCCGAGTCTCAGAATCCCCTTTTCTGCTTTGACAACACCCGTGACCTCATCCTGATGCATTGCCGAAATTAAAGACCACAGCTTTTTGCTGATGCCCTCCGGTACAGGCTGGGCTAGGGAGCAGAGGGACTGGACCCTACTTCTACCTGGTTTAGCCTGGTTTAGCCTGGGCATCTTTCTGTGAAAGCCGGCACCTGGCCACATGCCTCCACAGCTACTTTCGCTTAAGCAATGCCCCACAGTCTATACAGTGCAAAAACTCACTGGATTTAACTGGGCAATTTGGCTGTTTAGCTGGGACTAAAGTTCCAATGCCGGCCTTTAAAACCTCAACATTGTGCTCACGGTTTCCACTATTCCTGATCAAATCAAACTGAAGTTTACGTGCTTTAGATTTCACAGGTAGAGCCAATGCTCTGGCTACGTCACTTTCATTTCCATGTTTTCTAGTCAAATGAGGGGACATTTTGTGGCAGGACATTGAACAGTAGAGGCAGAAGTGTCTCTTGCTGTAAACTCTGCCCCCATTTTTCTTCTTTTGCAGCTGCATGATAACAATCTTATTTGCCTTTGGTTCGTCACTTTCCGAGTCTTGAAGAAAAGTGTTTTTGATTTTTCTTTTTCCATACTTTTTAGAGGTTTCTTCTTGACAGTTAAATCGTCAGAATCTGAGTCGACTTCATCAATAAGGGACTCTTGACTAAGCTGCACAAACAACAAATAATTTGTAATCATTCTATATAACAATTTGAAGTCATGACTTGTAGTCAGCACTTACCAGTGGTTTGTAAGCGTGCGCTTCAGTGTGCTCCTCCATGATTTCTTGCAGCCTAATGAACCACACACTTGCACCTTTTTCTAGCCTGACACCTGATTTCCTCTGTTGTGCTGCTCCATGATTGGCTCCAGCCTGCTGGACTGAAATTGCCCCAGTGTGCCCCTCCTTGATATCCCGCAACCCACCACCAGGGTTCCGACACATAACACACTTTTTTCAGGAAAGTAAACCTCCAGGGGTCCTTTCCATATTTTTACAGAGACTGCATAAGGACCGTTAGAAAAGCATTACCCATTGATTATTAAGCTTGGACCAGTGGGGTCCGGTGTTCGGGCCCCACCACGTAAAACCAGTCCCTATGACGTGAGTGGAATCTCAGGTTATGGAACCCACCAGGAGTTGAAAACAAGTGCACACACACACACACACACACACACACACACACACACACATGAGGACACACACACACACACACACACACACACACACACACAAACAGACACACACACACACACACACACACACACACACACACACACACACACACAGACACACACACAGACACACACACACACAGATTGATGTGTGTCTGATGCCTGTGGAGTCGACTGATGCTAATGCGATCGACAGCTCAGTTTATTTACCTCTGGTTTTGCTGATGTGGCCACAGCCGTAACATTCCAAGGCTTCACGTGCACAGGCTTCACGTGCACTGACCTCACGTGCACAGGCTTCACGTGCACAGGCTTCACGTGCACAGGCTTCACGTGCACAGGCTTCACGTGCAGAGGCTTCACGTGCACAGGCTTCACGTGCACTGACCTCATGTGCACTGACTTTACTCTGTGTGGACCAAGAACCACTTTTGGACCATCCTATAAAGATATTTTCCAAGACGCTACACAAAAGTATTGGGTAATTCTTTTTCCGGGTGCACCCCCACGGTCCGGAGGGGTCAGCGCACGTGTTCATGGACCTTTTTGAGCCGGGACCCGCCCAAACTAGTTTAGACCTGAAGATTTAAGAGGAAATGGGAGGAGTCTGCTCCTGCTGGAGCATGAAGTGATCCATGTTCTCTGAGAGCAGTGGGAGGTGTCGGGTCTGGATCAGAACCAGCTGCACACCGAGGTCACTGTACTTCTTTTTTTTCCATTTACATTCCCACCGGAACAAACCATGTGCTTCTAACCATGTGAGAGGACCATGTGCGTCTAACCATGTGTGTCCTGTAACGTCCTGACCTTCCTTTGGTTATATTCTTTAACTTTTCTTTTAATGTTGAGCCGAGACGAGGAAGGAGGAGAGGGAGGTACCAGGAGGAGAGGGAGGTACCAGGAGGAGAGGGAGGTACCAGGAGGAGAGGGAGGCATCAGGAAGAGAGAGAGGTACCAGGAGGAGAAGGAAGTACCAGGAGGAGAGGGAGGCACCAGGAAGAGAGAGAGGTACCAGGAGGAGAGGGAAGTACCAGGAGGAGAGGGAGGCACCAGGAAGAGAGAGAGGTACCAGGAGGAGAGGGAAGTACCAGGAGGAGAGGGAGGTACCAGGAGGAGAGGGAGGTGCCAGGGGGAGAGGGAGGTACCAGGGGGAGAGGGAGGTACCAGGACGAGAGGGAGGTACCAGGGGGAGAGGGAGGTACCAGGGGGAGAGGGAGGTACCAGGGGGAGAGGGAGGTACCAGGAGGAGAGGGAGGTACCAGGAGAGGAGGGAGGTACCAGGAGGAGAGGGAGGTACCAGGAGAGGAGGGAGGTACCAGGAGGAGAGGGTGGTACCAGGAGGAGAGGGAAGTACCAGGAGGAGAGGGAGGTACCAGGGGGAGAGGGAGGTACCAGGAAGAGAGAGAGGTACCAGGAGGAGAAGGAAGTACCAGGAGGAGAGGGAAGTACCAGGAGGAGAGGAAAGTACCAGGAGGAGAGGGAAGTACCAGGAGGAGAGGGAAGTACCAGGAGGAGAGGGAGGTACCAGGGGGAGAGGGAGGTACCAGGAAGAGAGAGAGGTACCAGGAGGAGAAGGAAGTACCAGGAGGAGAGGGAGGCACCAGGAAGAGAGAGAGGTACCAGGAGGAGAAGGAAGTACCAGGAGGAGAGGGAGGCACCAGGAAGAGAGAGGTACCAGGAGGAGAGGGAAGTACCAGGAGGAGAGGGAGGTACCAGGAGGAGAGGGAGGTACCAGGGGGAGAGGGAGGTACCAGGGGGAGAGGGAGGTACCAGGAGGAGAGGGAGGTACCAGGGGGAGAGGGAGGTACCAGGGGGAGAGGGAGGTACCAGGGGGAGAGGGAGGTACCAGGAGGAGAGGGAGGTACCAGGAGAGGAGGGAGGTACCAGGAGGAGAGGGAGGTACCAGGAGAGGAGGGAGGTACCAGGAGGAGAGGGAGGTACCAGGGGGAGAGGGAGGTACCAGGAGGAGTGGGAGGTACCAGGAGAGGAGGGAGGTAACAGGAGGAGAGGGAGGTACCAGGAGAGGAGGGAGGTACCAGGAGGAGAGGGAGGTACCAGGAGAGGAGGGAGGTACCAGGAGGAGAGGGAGGTACCAGGAGAGGAGGGAGGTAACAGGAGGAGAGGGAGGTCTGTACCAGGAGGAGAGGGAGGCGAGAGGGAGGCGACACGGTGGCTGAGTGGTTAGCACTCCCGCTTCTCAAGAAGATCCTGGGTTCTGAATCCCGGTCGGAACAGGGCCTTTCTGAGTGTAGTTTGCATGTTCTCCCTCTGTCTGCGTAGGTTTCCTCCGGGTGCTCCGGTTTCCCCTACCACTAAAAACATGCACAATAGGTCTGAATGTAAATGAGAGAGTGAATGAAGGTGTTGGGTCAGAGGCTTTGATGGTCCAGTGTGTTCTGGACTCGCTTCTGTCATCACCGTGTGTGGAAGGATTGGAACAATATCTGACTCTGAACATTGGAAAGTGCTTTGGGTCGGTACCTTTGGGTCTGTACCTTTGGTCTGTACCTTGGTCTGTAACATGTACCAGGTCTGTACCAGGAGGACACGCTGAGTGGTTAGCTGGGTTCAAATCCAGGTGGGAACAGGGCCTTTCTGAGTGGAGTTTGCATGTTCTACCTGTGTCTGTGTATGTTTCCTCTGGGTTTAAGGCTCAAGATATGTCCTAATTAAGACACATTTCACAAATTTGAGCAATTTTTGACTCATTCTCCATCACTTCCTCAGAGTAGACTGAGTTTCAGAACTGCTCAGTCCGTGACCTCATGTTATGGAGGAATTACCATCAGCACGTTCAGACAGAACACACCTTTGCACGACAGTCCCGCTGAGATTCAGAACCTCTTTGTACGAAGGGTCCTGGTCCCAGAGCGAAGGAGCCTGTTGTACATTCTAACTGTAGCACCTGGAGGAAACCTGTACAGACACGGGGAGAACATGCAAACTCCAGAAAAACCCCATTCTGTCCAGCAGTGGAACCTCAGAAGTCCAGAAGAAGATCCTTTCAGTCTGTTTGAGGCTGAACTCTTTGATGTAGCTGTGAGTCATAAACAGTACAGAACATTTTGACCCAGGACTAAAACTGAGGCTGGTTTTTCTGTCATGGTTTTGTTCGTTAACTTTCATCACAGACTTTTAATCACAAACATGGATGAGGCACCGAGGACATCAGGGGACTTTGTAAACCAATGGAATCAATACTCATTAAAACAAATGTCTGTGTGGGGTCAGCCTCAGGCAAAGGGGAGTTCAACCCTCACACAGAGAGAGGCTCAAGAATCAACTGGACCATGGACCATGGACCAGAGGTCACCAGGACCAGGAGGGGACTGAAATGAGCATCACACCTATGGAGGGGAGTTTATTGATCCAGAAACACATCCATCCAATCAATACAATAAACACATCACTCTAAAACTGACTAGTAATACAGCAGGTATAGGCTGGTCTCTCTCTGGTCTCTCTCTGGTCTCTCTCTGGTCTCTCTCTGGTCTCTCTCTGGTCTCTCTCTCTGGTCTCTCTCTGGTCTCTCTCTGGTCTCTCTCTGGTCTCTCTCTGGTCTCTCTCTCTGGTCTCTCTCTGGTCTCTCTCTGGTCTCTCTCTCTGGTCTCTCTCTCTGGTCTCTCTCTCTGGTCTCTCTCTGGTCTCTCTCTGGTCTCTCTCTCTGGTCTCTCTCTCTGGTCTCTCTCTCTGGTCTCTCTCTCTTTGGTCTCCTCGACATAAATATTTGTTGGAGGAGAACAGTTAAACCAATGATGAGCGGCCTCTAGGATTTGAATCACATCCGACCAATCAGGAGGCAGCAGGGGCGGGTCCAAGCTTCTGGTCTTTAACATATGCCTCTCTTCTCAGTTTGTAAAGAAACAGACTTTTATAAACTCATTTTAAAACATGTAAAGACAAAGTAAAGTCTGATTATCGATGAATCATATTTCTGATTTAATTTAGATAATTTGGATCCGAGCTTTAACTCAGGGCAGTTAACGTGATGTTCCAGTGTTGTGATAATGAGCGGTTAAAGCACAAATGACTAATTGTTTTTAAATGAGTTTACGACGCAGCGTGAGTCGCTCGTTTGTGGAAACAGAAATGTTTTGTAAAACACGAAAACCTTTCTCTTCACATTAGGTTTTCAGAGACGACTGCTGTGATTTAAGGCGGTATGGAACTATTTTAATTAGTATTAAAGACCATCTTTTTTTCCCAGTAAATGTACATTTGGAGTCTGTCACGTTATTAGATCTACAGAAAGAAAAGTGAAAAAGTCTGTGACCATGTGTCCAATCGTGGTACTGCAGCCTCTCCCACTCTCCCTGACTCAGGTTGCCAGATATGCAGACGAATCCAGCTGGGACCATAACAGCTGAATAGACAAGAGTTTAGTCAACAACAAATTTTAGGGCCCTTTAATGATGACTGGACATGAAAATCTTACTTGTTGCTACTTTAAGGCTCTTTCTTACACAAATATAAAGTGTATGTTTTTATTGAGATAAAGACGAACAAAATGTTATATTTATCCCAAAAAAAGGAGCAGAACTGCACTTTGATCTTTTCCGGGTCTGGACCTGAACATGAGCCGCTCACTTGCTCCAAATGCCACCGTCTCCTTGAAATCTTTGGGTGTGTTTGATTTGACCCGTCGCTCGGTCCGTGGGGGGCGTCTCCTTCAGCATGGCACCCACCCACTTCCACAGACCCAAGACCGGTCCCACTCTGGACCTGACCAGTCAAATGCATCTCCGCCCCCCGCTGTGCAGACCTTGGGGTGACCTTCTCCGTCCTGCTGGCCTTTTAAGACTACAGTTCATCAATAACTGATTCTGTTGGGTTTGGTTTGAACAGGAGACCAGAGAGACCAGAGAGACCAGAGACCAGAGAGACCAGAGAGACCAGAGAGAGACCAGAGAGACCAGAGAGACCAGAGAGACCAGAGAGAGACCAGAGAGACCAGAGAGACCAGAGAGACCAGAGAGACACCAGAGAGAGACCAGAGAGACCAGAGAGACCAGAGAGACCAGAGAGACCAGAGAGACCAGAGAGAGACGAGAGAGAGACCAGAGAGACCAGAGAGACCAGAGAGAGACCAGAAAGACACCAGAGAGAGACCAGAGAGAGACCAGAGAGAGACCAGAGAGAGACCAGAGAGAGACCAGAGAGAGACCAGAGAGAGAGACCAGAGAGAGAGACCAGAGAGAGACCAGAGAGAGAGAGACCAGAGAGAGACCAGAGAGAGACCAGAGAGAGAGACCAGAGAGACACCAGAGAGAGACCAGAGTGAGAGACCAGAGAGAGACCAAAGAGAGACTAGAGAGAGACCAGAGAGAGAGACCAGAGAGAGAGACCAGAAAGAGACCAGAGAGAGAGACCAGAGAGAGAGAGACCAGAGAGAGAGACCAGAGAGAGACCAGAGAGAGAGACCAGAGAGAGACCAGAGAGAGAGAGACCAGAGAGAGAGACCAGAGAGAGACCAGAGAGAGACCAGAGAGAGAGACCAGAGAGAGACCAGAGAGAGAGACCAGAGAGAGACCAGAGAGAGACAGACCAGAGAGAGACCAGAGAGAGACCAGAGAGAGAGAGACCAGAGAGAGAGACCAGAGAGAGAGACCAGAGAGAGAGAGACCAGAGAGAGAGACCAGAGAGAGACCAGAGAGAGACCAGAGGGAGACCAGTAAATAATTCCAAACATGCAAAATAAGTAGCTTGATTCCCTTGTTGTAAAGAAAAATAAGCATTTGAGACCTCGTTACCTGCGAAGTGAGACCTCGTTACCTGCAGAGTGAGACCTCGTTACCTGCAGAGTGAGACCTCGTTATCTGCAGAGTGAGACCTCGTTATCTGCAGAGTGAGACCTCGTTACCTGCGAAGTGAGACCTCGTTACCTGCAGAGTGAGACCTCGTTACCTGCAGAGTGAGACCTTGTTATCTGCAGAGTGAGACCTCGTTACCTGCGATGTGAGACCTCGTTATCTGCAGAGTGAGACCTCGTTATCTGCAGAGTGAGACCTCGTTACCTGCAAAGTGAGACCTCGTTACCTGCGGAGTGAGACCTCGTTACCTGCAGAGTGAGACCTCGTTACCTGCAGAGTGAGACCTCGTTACCTGCGGAGTGAGACCTTGTTACCTGCAGAGTGAGACCTCGTTATCTGCAGAGTGAGACCTCGTTACCTGCAGAGTGAGACCTCGTTACCTGCGGAGTGAAACCTCGTTACCTGCAGAGTGAGACCTTGTTACCTGCAGAGTGAGACCTCGTTACCTGCAGAGTGAGACCTCGTTACCTGCAGGGTGAGACCTTGTTATCTGCAGAGTGAGACCTCGTTACCTGCAGAGTGAGACCTTGTTACCTGCAGAGTGAGACCTCGTTATCTGCAGAGTGAGACCTCGTTATCTGCAGAGTGAGATCTCGTTATCTGCAGAGTGAGATCTCGTTATCTGCAGATTGAGACCTCTTTATCTGCAGAGTGAGACCTCGTTACCTGCAGAGTGAGACCTCGTTACCTGCAGAGTGAGACCTCGTTATCTGCAGAGTGAGACCTTGTTATCTGCAGAGTGAGACCTCGTTACCTGCAAAGTGAGACCTCGTTACCTGCGGAGTGAGACCTTGTTATCTGCAGAGTGAGACCTCGTTATCTGCAGAGTGAGACCTCGTTATCTGCAGAGTGAGACCTCGTTACCTGCAGAGTGAGACCTCGTTACCTGCAGAGTGAGACCTTGTTACTTGCAGAGTGAGACCTTATTACCTGCGAAGTGAGACCTCGTTACCTGCGGAGTGAGACCTCGTTACCTGCAGAGTGAGACCTCGTTACCTGCAGAGTGAGACCTCGTTACCTGCAGAGTGAGACCTCGTTATCTGCAGAGTGAGACCTTGTTACCTGCAGAGTGAGACCTCGTTACCTGCGGAGTGAGACCTTGTTACCTGCAGAGTGAGACCTCGTTATCTGCAGAGTGAGACCTTGTTACCTGCAGGGTGAGACCTTGTTATCTGCAGAGTGAGACCTCGTTACCTGCAGAGTGAGACCTCGTTATCTGCAGAGTGAGACCTCGTTACCTGCAGAGTGAGACCTCGTTATCTGCAGAGTGAGACCTTGTTATCTGCAGAGTGAGACCTTGTTACCTGCAGAGTGAGACCTTGTTATCTGCAGAGTGAGACCTTGTTACTTGCAGAGTGAGACCTCGTTATCTGCA